ATTGGTCCCCGCCGTTCGGCGGCCATACTGGATTTTTCCGGTCTAGCTTCTTTTCACAATGGTTTCGCGGCCCTAGAAAAGGTTCGGGACTCATCGTAATCGGTATCGTTTAGCTGGAGCTTGTTTTGTGTGATGTATTCTCTGCGACCTTTTCTTTTTTTGGTGAATGCTGCTAATATACATATGGGCTTTTGGAACCATTGATTTTTCGTAAACGGAAGGCTGCAGAAAGTAGCTTATGTGTTATTTTGTATTTTTGCTGTGTTTTGTAAGTTCATATAATAATTCTATTTGTTATTTTATTTAAAGATGAAAATATGGGTGGAGATCTAGTTGCAATATTTTTAAAAAATTTATATTGCAGTTTAAAATTATTTTAACACATTTTTCTGTGTACAAAATATGGTTCTGAAAATACTGTTATAAAAATGTACAACTCGCTTCTGAATTATGAAGATCATCAAAGTAGTCAACATCTGATTTAAAACTAACCTAAGTACTTCCATGCACCTGAATATAAAGAAACGCAAACATAGCGTAAATTCAGTTTTGATTAATATACAGACATAAAAATTAATATACAGTAAAGTTTATGTAGACATATGTATTTTATATGACAGAACGTTAGATTTCGAGCAAGTTTGAAGCGAAAGCTGGAACGAAGAGAGGGTTGACATGGATTTGTCAGCGATTACTGGCCGCGTGCCGCCACCCTAAGGATTAAGTGCAATTATTGGAACACTCTGACGAACCGCAACCCGTTTCACACGCTCCTTCTATATCTTGTTATGAAAGTTATGAACTCTGCTGTTCGATGGAAAAATTGAACAACAATATTAGTTCACCAAATCCGATAGATTAGTGGACTTTAATTCCAACGTCAATCCTTCGAGTAACCCTTGTCGTATGCTGATATTAGGGGATTATAAACGATTTTAAGAGGATACAGAAAATTTGAATTAATCAGGTATTAAACTTTTTATTCAAAATCAAGCTTTACTTCTATTAAAATCAAACTTATTTACTTCTATAAAGTGTAATGAGTTATTTACTGAGGGAGTTAGGAGGAAATGTTTGAAATCCAGAAAATTAAGTTTGTTAAAAATATGAGGAGCTGTTATTATTTTTGTATGATGAAGACCACTACTTTTATAATTTATGTATTTTAAGCAAAGTTTAGGAGATTTTTTATTTAATAAATATGTGAGTCAAAGGTGTTGAATGTGGACTGAGAGGTACATAATTTAAAAATTTAAAGAATCTTAAATTTTGTAATTTTTATATTCATATATGTTCATATATGTTCATATGATTTTTGAGTTACCTGTCTTTAGTTGTCTTAGTTAAATAAACTGCCATGAAATATCCTTACTTGTCTTTAGTTTATTAAATATCTTACTTGTCTTTAGTTAAATCAACTGCCAAAAAAATTTCTTTCCTTTAAAAAACCATATTAAATTTTTAAAATGTCCAAAGTATCTATTAAACACGTTACACATAGTACACATATGAGTCCACATATGTACACATATAAGTACACACATGATTTTTAAGTTACCTTACTTGTCTTCAGTTAAATCAACTGCCACAAAATTTTCTTTCATTAAAAAACCATATTATATTTCTAAAATGTCCAAAGTATCTATTAAACACGTTACACATAGTACACATATGAGTACACATATGTACACACATAAATATACAGTAACAAGTACACTTCCATTTAAGTGTAAATATTCCAAGCGCAAAGTCATACTTAAAATAGCGTTCCCAAAATAGCAATATCTTTTCCAAAACATTCACACTGCAATACGTCTGATTAAGTACCAACTCCAGCAATTCGTTATCTCAATCGATAATTCGCGGATTTATGGTTGAAATTCCTTTCACATTTCATCAGACCGCTATTTGTGGTTCGAACAATAAGTGACCCTTGTTTCGTTGTCCTCGGTCTCGGGTTTGAACGTTGCAAAAACGTGACGCGGTGATTGCAGTAAATTGTACGGTTACGAAACGCTGGAATGCAAAGTCTGTCTCGAACACGTATACCCGTGTTAGACGCATAATTAGAAGTACAAACGTGCATGTGGTTTGTTCGCTTTCTACGCGAAATTTAACGAACTGGCCAAGCTGAATAACACGTGTAAATTAATTGCATCGAAATTTCCACTTTACGGGCAGGTCAAATCGAATCGTGATTTTCCAGACTTTCGCTGTGAATACTTTTCCATTTCAGTAAGGATAGATTAACATTCAACTTCATGATAGGTTTCAAAAATGTATAAGTAAATCGTAGGAATAAAAACAAGCATTAAATAAATGCTTAAAGAAGCATATACATATGAGAAGCATGAGAAGCATACACATATGATTGATCTACCATAAATTAACATTTGATAGACCTAAACTTGATAAACATAAATGAATAATGCATCACTCGTCAATTTTTGTTAAACTCAATTCAAAAGTTCTGAAATGAATGAATGATCATTATGAATGATAAATGATGTCAGATCATCCGCAAGTGATTGCAGATTTCTCATGAATTAGGATATTAGGTGAAGGGGTTAGGTAGCAATCTGGTGTCCACCTAGCGCATGTGGTATCAGCTCGTAACCGGGCGTCACATGCGACCCCTTCAGATGCGGCTTGGGTTTTGGCTTGGTATAACTCCGATAATTATGTTACCAATGCGTCGAAGGACAAAGGACTCTCGAGCGACGTGGATGGCTCGCGAGTGAGACCCAGAAAAGAGATGGTTGCTTGGTAGCCCAGCTGCCGGTAATCCTCCCTTTGTAATTTGCCTCTGTAACCCCTCGCCCCGCCACCCTGCCAATGGCGTCGATCGTTGGCTTCTTCTTCAAAAAGGAATCATTTGAAGGCAAAGGGAAATATGAGTCTTCCAAGCTTTATATTACATCTACTCTACGTATCTAACTTCTGGTTCAGACTTCATTTACTTGGGTTCAAATAGGGTTAGGCTGAGTCTTCATTCAATTTGGTTTGAACTTCAATCAATTAGGTTTGAACTTGAGTTAGTTAGGTTTGAACTTCAGTCAGTTAGGTTTGAACTTCAGTCAGTTAGGTTTGATCTTCATTCAATTAGGTTTGAACTTCAGTCAGTTAGGTTTGAACTTCAGTCAGCTAGGTTTAAACTTCATTCGCTTAGCTTTGCGTGGAACGTTATGTAAGTTGGAGGTAAATTGTATGTAGTTAGAGTAGAGGTGGTTACATCTGGTTTGAGTTAGGTATAATTGATGGTGAACAATACCTGGTTCAATCTAGATATAATTAGCTTGAAGATCAATAAGTCCTCGTTCAAAATTTATTTAGTAAGTTGTAGGTTTACAATATTTTGTTGAAATTTTATATAGTAAACTTAAAGGCAAATAATGTCTGACTCAAACATTATTTAACTAGATTAGAGGCGAATTCTGGCTCAAGCTTGACACAATAACTTTAAAGATATACAGTATCTAGTTTTAACTTTATGTAATTTAGTTGTAGATGAGTATCTGGTTCGAGCTTGATATAATTAGCTTAAAGGTGAGTCTGAGTGAAACTTGATATAATTAGCTTGAAAGTGAGTGTGGGTCATGTAAGTAAATAGGTTCAATCCATGTAAATAATCTCTACTTTCGACTTCATATAATTAAATTGCAGATGAATCTGTCTCAAACTCGATACAGCATGAAGATAAAATATCTGGTTCAAATTGTGTGTAACTAGATTAGAAATGAATTCTGATTTAAATTTATGGATCTGTTTACTGTTAATTGTAGTCCAAACTACAATTAACTTGAAGGACTTATCTTGAACATGAAACTTTCTACACACCAAACCTCATAAATAATTTCTCACCAACCACAAAAGCTAATCCCCTCCAAAAAAAAACTAATATACATAAACATTCAAAGCCTCCCAAATTCTAGCAGAATCCTAAAGTACCCTGAAAAGGCCCTTTTTTCCGTGGGTACAGTTGCTACGCCACTGACAGGCGGTTGATGTCACCGTGCCCTCTGGATAATAGAGTCCGCGACTTTAATGGACTCGCTAATCCTCTTCCCTGTTTGTCGGTGAGTCCATCCGGGGGTTGTATTCAGGATATGCAAGGAGGTAAAAATCGGGGCGGGGTGGTGTGACTGCGGTACGAGCACAGTTTAAGGGCTGTTCTCTGACGGAGACTGCAACGTGTGGGTTGTCGTGCGGCAGGAGGGTGACAAGAGGGGAAATCGCTGTCTATCTGCCACGTCCCGAAACGGTGGATACGCCCCTTGTGCGGATTCATCGGTGCGATGATACCTTGATTTCTCGAGTGACGAATTGAATGCGCTTAATGCGAACCGGCACGTTTAACGACGTAATTTGATGTAATACCACCTTGAACCCTTTCGCCGAGCCTCGTTCGCGATGATGAATTATGAGTGCAACGCTTGATAGGTTTTGAATGTTTTACGTAAACTTCATTAGACAAAGCGAAGATCGAAAGGCTGTAGATCTATGTTATAAGTCTAGATCTATTTTTTCATGTATTTGATCAAAGTTATTTGATAAAAGTTCATTTAATAAAAGCAAAAAGAATAACACATTCATAGTTTCGATATGCATACCTTCTTCATAATCCATCGCTAAAAGTGACATTACAATTCACTTTTTTAATAAACATATTAGAAGGCAGCTTTAGTCAATTTCTGACTGTAAATCAAAGGGGAACTTGCAGTGAAAACCTCAAATTCTTCACCTTCTCTCATTTTCCTTTTATTACAATTAAAATCCAATACAAATTTTACCTCCAAATTTAAACTTGCACCATTAATGACGTCAATTACAAAAATCACAGTAAATCTAAACGAACCCTCTGAGTATACCTTAAATAAACAACCTTGTTTTCCTTAAATAAACATCCTTGCTTTCATTTTATTAACATCGCATAAATAAGGAAGACAAAAAACAAGCTTGAAAATAAATTACTTTTCGCTTCAGGATCCGATTATGCTCTTCGAGGAATAGCATTGGCCAAGTTACTTTGGTACTGCAACAATTGTTGCAGATGAGGTGGTAATTTGGTAGAGTATTGCGGTTGTTGCGGATTATAGTTTTGCCCTTGAGGAAGAGGACGATACTGTTGAGGGAGCGGTTGCTGATACTGACCGCCGGTGCTAGATTGAATTGCCCTATAATCCGGTTGCTGGACACCCGATGAGAATTGAACTTGAGGTTTGTACTGCGAAACCTGTGCCTGAGAGAGCTGTTGAGGCTGGATGGGCTGAGACGGTCCTAGTTTCGGGATTGGCTGAGATGGAACGGGCACGAGGGGACGACGAGAGTTTTGGGCTTGCAGGAGCTGCTGGATTTGAGGCGGTGCTTGATTCAACGTGCGATAATTTCCTGATTGCCTTCTCTCGCGGACGTGATCTGGAAAGAGTTTAGTCAAATGACAAATTTTTGTGGAGTGAACGAGTGGATGAAGTGGGAATTAAAATTAGTTATTTTGAAATTAATGGTGACTGCACAGAAACTATTGTTTTGTTAACCTTCTTGGATGATATTAAATAGTTACAGCCGAAGTGAAAATTAAGGACTATTCGATTACTTAAAGGTTCTGTGAAATATTCTCAAAGATTATTATTAATATGAACACTCAGTATTTGAATTTTTGTATTACTGCTTGGAAATGTACCATACACATGTTCATCTCACATGTTTAAAGAACTTACGTGTTTACAAAATTTTGTATTCTATATTCCAAATAATATCTTTCATAATGTTCACTTCCAGCTAGTGTCAGACATTTTTTAGTCCATTAAAAATTAAAATTAAATTAAAAAATACTGTGGAGTACAAAAAATTATTGACTACTGCGTCAATATGAAATATAAAGTCAAAGTTAAATATATGAAATATGAAGTTAAAATTAAACACATGAAATGTAAAATTAAAGTGAATACAAAATTAAAAATGAATATAATTTACCCAAAGTTGAGTATTGATATTCCAGGCCCACAAGATCTTCGGACACATCGAGAGTAGCATAAATGGGCACGATAGCCAGCAGTAAAATCTGAAATTCATAGTCATTACAATTATTTCATAATTAAATAATTTATTCACTGCACGTGCACATTTTATTAACGCTTTGATAGCCGGATTGAACTTAAATTATATTCTGAATACCACAAAAATTGCGCCAGTATTTCCATAGGTGAGCGCGTGCATTTAATTACCCTTTCACACGTTGATTGCGGAAAGAGTATCCGGTGACCGTTACCATGAAACTAATATAACCGGCTAGGCAGACGAAAGAAATGTTTCAGAGAACTTATTGCTATTAATAAAATATAAGTAAAATAGAATAATGAAATAGGATAAGCAAAGTGGAGAAGTTAAATTTTAAAATGAAGGACATGTTGTAGAGGAAGAGTAAACATAACCTTCAAAAGGGGAGTCACATATGAGTATTTATTAAGAGGAATTTTAATATTCATTTCATTGTAACTATATTAAATCATAGTTAACTAAACTACAAATATACTAAACTAAAAATTCAGTTATATATTAAAAAGAGTAAACTTAACCTTCAAGGGAGGTGTCACATATGAGTACATATACATATGTTTAGAAAAATGTTAGTATTCGTTTCATTGTAATTGAAATAATATATTAAAAGTGTAGTTAATTAAACTACAAGTATACTAAACTAGAAATTGAGTTATATATTAAAAAGAGTAAACCTAACCTTCAAGGAAGGACTCACACATATGAGTCACATATGAGTATTTATTAAGAAGAATTTTAATATCCATTTCATTGTAACTGTAATACATTAAAATATAGTTAACTAAACTCTAAATATACTAAACTAAATATTCAGTTTTATATTAAATTTGTTACAGTAGTATAATAACTAATAGTTCATACTACTTTTTCCTGAATTACTATTATTAAAAATAATTTGAAGACAATATATCTAAAACCTGATATTGTATTTTCATTGAGAGTACATAAATAAATTTTGAAATAAATACTAAAATATTTTGTACATGTAGATCAGAGATAGGTACATGAAAACTTTAATGGATTATAGTGATTGTCTACACAATTTTAAGGAAGTCTCTGTTGGATACAGCATCCAACATACATATGAAATTTCTAATAGATATAAAAAGTTTGATTATGTTTGCTTTTACAATATTTTCACCTTGTCCCCTTTCCTCATTCTGAAGTACCGTCGTTTAAAATCATTCAAGTCTAAGTACACCAAGTTTCTACACAAATTTCACACTTTCTATTCTCTCATATCAACTGAATGATGCGGAACGGAAAAATCTGTAATATGGGACGACAAAACTCTGCTCTCTAACTTGTCCTACTTCGCATAGCATCATCATCAATTACTGGCATTAAAACGCAGCATTTTATGACTCATAGACGTTTTTACATATCCCGCCAATAACTGTGAAATGAAAAATCGATGTTCGATCTGAAAGCTAGATAACGAATTTTACCGATCTCCCGCGTTACACACCACTGATCGTAACATACATTCGTGCTCGAAACTACATGAAACTAGTTCTCACGAAAGGAAAGGATGAAAGCATTTGAACTATACCTTTCGAACGCCATGGTAGCCTGATTTAATATCTGTGGTAACAAAGGGAAACTTTGGACAAAATAATGTGGGTCATAATCGTGGTGAATTTCTAACGACTAAATCATGCAATCGTGTAACAAATTCGGTCAATCAATTCAAAAGAACGACATATTCGTTCAAAGAAGATGTATCATTGATATGATATGTTAGGTTTTTCTTTTCTCTAGCCTTTGTTTTCCTCTCTTTCTGTTCGTTTGGTATTTTCGTTCATTTTTTAATTTTAAGTTACATTTTTGTACTATTTCTGTTATCATATCTATAGGAATTCTAGTTAGATTCTTGATCAAAATTTTTACATTATTTTAGATTCATGCAAGGTGACTCTATATGAATAAAATTCATAAAATGTGGAAACTAACGAATAATTTTAATTTTGTTTTTTTTTTATCTAATGTGGGTATTTCACAAAAAGGGGGTTGTTAACGGATAACATAAACTATGTTGTTGGTTGTTTTAATATATTATTGTATGCACAGTGACATACATGTGCTGAAAGGTATACCTCGGAAATATTGCGGGATCCGTAGCTGGAATTTTTTAGTTTGTTAATGCATATAGATGTTATGCTTACATTATTTTGTAATTTATTTAGAATATAATAGCACAACGTTAAAATAAATCAATGTATGAAACATAAATGTAAAATTATTTATTTTTAAATAATAAATAAGTATCACCATTTTGACAAGAATGCTTAGTTTGCAAAAAGTGTTATTTCAATTCCAAATAAAGTTACCAAACTAAAATAATTAAACTAAATAACTGAATTAACATTAATAATATTATCTAACACTGCACGAATAAATTATTAATACCGATATTCTAAAATATTAATTAATTTCTAAATACAATGTCATGAAACATAGAATTAGGGAAGCAACCTGAACACAATGTCTGCCACAGAGGTCATCAGCAATGAACGCTTTAAATTTGACAAAATCTAGTAACTAATAAAAAGCAACTAGAAACTAGTAACACAAGGAACTAATAACATTAACAATGTAGAACAACCAACACAAAATTTAAATATGTAAATCAACTTCCATTGCAAATGCAACAGTTCTATTTACCATGGCAAGCATTCAATTTTTATCTAACAGCAAAAAGCATCACTAACACAATTTCACAATCGAATACATCAATTATAAAAATAAAAAAATTTGTTCGAAGTGTAGTAAAAAATTGCACTAAATTATTCAAAATAAAATTCTGGAATGAAGAAATGGAAATAAATTGACAATAATGGAAAAGAATAACGATAAAAATTTATTCGAATAAAGAATAAAATTGTATAAAATTGACTTTTACTCACGAGGAACTTCATGACGAAGGTGTAGGCGATTTCGGGATGGTAGCTGAACGAAACTGGCGGCCGCGTCGCGACGCACTTCTATATGGGCGAGCGTTTCCAGGGTAAATGGTCCCGCCAACCACTAACTTTCACGGTTGGTCGGTTTCGACTGAATTTTTTTCTTCCGTCACATACAGGGTGTCCACCTCTTTACCGATATAATCTACACGTGAAAATACGAAAAAAATGTTATGTGAACATAAAGTCTCAAACCCTTCATTAACTATAACTAACACACTTAATACCCTTACTTGAAACTTATACTAATACCCTTTACTTAAAGTAATTAACATGTACAATTTTTCTGAGTAAAATATGAGTGACATTTCAACAAAATAACCGCAACAAAATTTTATAATATAAAGTGTGAAGCTTGAAATCATTTGACTGATTGGTGGTTTTAGTATTAAAAAGTTATAATAAAAATACAAAATTATTTTGAACTCCTTTATTTCTTGATGCATGCAGTGTGTCCCAAATTTGTATGTGCAACTTCATCAACATATTCTATAAATAGAAACGGTAGAATAGTGTTATAATAGTGTATGCACAGAGACTGTTAAATGTTTTATCAAAGGTTTTATTGTCACATACGAAACGAATGTAAAATATTGTTGAATATTGATGGAACGACTCTCATATTATTTTTAATAATTTTTAATAATGCATTCTATGTTCTATGAGACTATGTTCGTATACAAATATTTTTTCATTTTTTTATTTACAGATTATACTGGTTGTATGATAAATAAACTGAAACGTCCTATACACGATATCGATGCAGTCTAACATATTATATTATATTTTTGTCACAATTTTTTAGTAAACTATTAAAACCTTGTGTTGATATTCTGGTTGTATTTCTATGAATAGATGATAAAGTTTGATAGGAAACTGGAACACCCTGTATATCTGCAGATCCCCGCCCGTTCGTCACACTAACGCGCCCCGTATTCATGGTGTACAACGGTTCAGGAAGTGATCCAGCTAAGTACACCTAAAACCTGGACATTTGCAAACGATGGTTGACATAATGATCAACTTGGTAACAGAGGAAATTTTCTAAATACTCTCAAAGGTCAACGATGTGTGGTAGAAAGTCTGGCGAAAAAGTAGAAGTCGATGCTTTTTATTTTGAGAATTGTTTCGTATGGGATCAATCTTTGTGATGGGATACTGAGTTGAGGTGTCCTTCGAGTTATGAGATAATTTGGTAAATTTTATATATTAACATTTAACTTAAAAGTTATATACGAGAAAAATGGTAATTTTTGTATTTTTATTGGATTATGATTTTGTGGTCATCGTGAGTTTTGTATTGGATTGTATTTTATTCTATCATATATTCTTAAGATCAAAGTTACACATTGTTTTCAACTTAATTTGAAGCTTCATTCTAATAATCTTCATATGAATATTACAATTTATAAGAAGTTATAAGTAATTTCTTATTGAAGGTTTATTCCAACTTTTATCATTTAGAAACTATATTTATAAGTCTTTCGTTAAACATTATTTATAGTCTTTCGTTCGAATAGAACCATAAGTTGCTCTCAAAAAAGTAATTTCTTTTCAAAACTTGCTGTAAAAAAATTTGTTCGAAAAACCATATCTTGGTGAACCACACTTGTAAAATTTCTAAGTGCCACTCTAAAGATATGAAAAAAAATAAAATAGCAAAACCAAAAAAGATAAGCTACGGTCAAAGCAATACTTCAATTATGTAACCTAATCCAGTTATTATGTTATGTCATATTACATAAAATCAGTTACGTTTCTGAGAGCACCTGAATATCTCCATTAATTCTAAAAACATAATTTATTCGTAAGAACGAGGCCATATATGATGTTCCTTTTGTAGATGAATGTGGTAAAAGTAAATATTCAGTCTTAAAGGGAATAACATTTGTTTTCTTTTTCTCAATGAAAGTGCATAACTAAAGTTGCGTGAATTGGTTTTGTGAAACGTTCTACGTGAACGGGTAATTACATTACATTATAGGAAAAAATTAACTAGCTGTGAAGAATTTTAACTTTTATTTCAAACGTTTCATTTTTGAATATATGTTGCAACTTTATAGAAAAGAAAATGAAGAAGTATTAAAAAATGTGAGAAAATGTCGACTTTTTGTGTCTGGGATTTTGTGTTACTTTTTAATTACTGTAAAATAATATGAGAAATTAATTTGATTATATAAAAAATATAAAATAAAAAAATTTTCAAAAGTATATAAGTGGACATAAATAAAAATTTGTATAATTAAATAAGGAAAGTATTTAAAAAATTTAGAAATCAATCTGAGTATATAAAAAGAATAAAACAAAAATCTTTGAAAATACATAAGTGCACATAAATAAAAATTTTTACAATTGAATGAGGAAATTATTAAAACAATTTTCTAGTCGTTATTAAAAATGTAGAGATATGTCTTCCGATCAAACTTGTAAAATAAAAACCTTGTTGCATTGAGAGAAAACCAGAACCACTTTTCCTTAATACCTATTATATCAGAGATTAACTTAAAGTTACGTGAAAGTTGTCTGATCGACTTTTTCCTTTTTTGAACGCATTTGACCACCTACTTTGGAATTTGCTTAGACAAGTACGAAACTATAATTAACTATCGGACTTAGAAAGCTCGTGTCGAATAGCTACAGAACTACTTATTTTACGAAAAAGAAGAACTACATCTACATTTTTCAGTTTGTAGATAATCGTGTGATAATTGCTGACAAAAGTCAATAATTTCCTAATCAAACTAATTGAAGTTTCATAATCAAACTAAAGACTACTATTAGTTTCAACTAAGGATTACTATTAGTTTCAACTAAGGACTACCATTAGTATAATAACAGTTGATGATTGTAGTATAAGTACAAGAGTTACATTTTTTTTTTATAAAGTTTTGGTAAATAAATAATTTCTAGTACATTACATTTATTTAAATCCAGCAAAAAGTGTGAACGATAAAACTACCGATAATAAATTTTTATCATGAACTAGCTCTGATTATTTAGTGAAAGAAACTAGTTTTCATGTAAAATATTTTTATGTACTGAGCCTGTTGAGTGACAGGTATAATTAGTCCTCCATAAGAAAATTTAGAATTAAGAAATTCCTGTATTTCTATTTTTTTAAATTATTAAATTTCCAAGTTTTTGAATTTCCAAATTTCTAAATCTCTGAATTTTTAAAGGTAAAATCTAATTTACTTAATTTTCACACGATAGTTCAATCTGCTAATTCGGCCATTTTCTCGTCATCATTAAACCAACTTGACAGCATTTCAAAGTACATTTATTTTCCAACGTTCAGTTACAAAAATACTAAGTAAATACGTTACAAAATAAGTAAATCATATACAAAAATATTAAGTTGTACTTTTATAAAGCACAAGAAATTTTAAAAGACAAGAAATAAAATTTTTATTCAGATTAAAAAGAAACAAAGAAGAAATGAGTATTTAACAGTAATAAAAAAAAGAAATTTATCCAACAAGAAAATAAAGTTTGTCAAATAAAAAAGAAAGAGTTTACAGAACAGAATTTAATCAAGCAAGAAAGTTATCGAGCAGAATTCTATCGGATCAGAAATCCGATATTGACGCGGACATAAATCACAAGTCAATGTCTGTGCATGTTGATAAAACATGTATTTCTAGTCACGTAACGGTATAGTCACCGTTTGCAGGAAGCATATACATCGGTCACTTCCGTATTCCTAAGTTGACCGCATTAATATATCGCGCAAAGTGCACTGTTTCGCGAGGACATTTTCTATTTCATAAAAACGCCATTTTAACTGGCGCACGCTTTGCAAGAACGACTGACCTTAATGTTCCACCTTCACCGTTCCACTTCCTGATTTCCCACCGTGCAAAATGATCGCTTTCGTTTAAACATCCAAGAAGATACTTTGAAGAAAGTATCGAGCTTTGAAACAATGTTGAAAGTTAATTCGAGCGTAATTTTCTGGAGTCGATTAAGTTCAATGATTAACTAGGGAAAAGGAGTGAAAGTAGAACTAGACTTAGCATGTCTAGCGGTTTTAACTGACATAATTATACGTCTTTAATTAAAGCTACTGTACAAATTAAAACTGGTGATTTGAGTTAGGAAATCTTGTTACGTTTTATGTGTAACAATTATGTTGAAATGTAGGTTAATTGAAACTTTGAACTTGACTTGTGAGCTTCGTTGAATTAATGTTAACATTGAAACGTTATGTGAAATATTGAAACGATTAATGGAGACGTTTGTTGGTTACAGATGTTTTATTGGAAAACGTGGAAGTATAAAAAGTATAAAAACAGATAAATATACGGTGCTTCGGAAACATTGTTTCGCGAATTGCTTTGATCTTGTTCCTTCTTTCATTGCTGGCAATTAGTTCCCGGAAGGTATTCATAATTTCTAACACAGAAGTTTCCGAGTTTTCTTCGTTACGTGAAATATCGAGCAGGTTTTGTTCTGATTATAGTAGAGTTCCGGTTCCGGTGTTTGAGAGAAGGAAAGTGAAGGAAAGTCGCAACCTCTTTTGATTTCTACAACAAAACTTGAGAGCGATTTTACTTAAACGTGAAAATCGTAAGTGAAATTATTGAACAAATGGAAATAATTGACGAATGAATTTGCGTTCGTTGATTTTCCTTCTGTTTTCTTTTTTACGCAAAACATTTTCCTGTTCGACTTGCAACTTTTAGTGAATAATGAAACAGTACAAAGTTCAAAGTTAATGTTTTCAATTTTATCATTAAATATTAATGTTAAATTTGAATATTTTTATAGGATTTTTAGCGATGATAACTACATTGTAACAAAATAGAAAACAATCTGTTGCAATAAATATTAGTTCATGTACTCGTTCGAAGCAAATGAGAAAATCCTTTCATTTATGTTCTTTGCTGTTATTATCGATTTTCAATTAATTTTCAGTTATCTTATGAGAACTCAAAATATTGAAAATTCTTTAGCATTCTCTAAAATTCCTTAAAATTTAAATATACAAATTTTTTTAAATCTTCAAAATTGATTTGTTTAAAATAATATTCAGACACGTACATGTAAACATAATCTAAATATAAAAAAATGTATAAAAATTGACAAAAAATATGAATTTTGTTTGATATGAAAAAAATCACAGCAAGAACGTCGATTTCTCCCTAATTACATATCACTCAAAGCGTGTCGCATGTTGATAAGAAACATGACAAACATTTCATTCATTTTCTCTACAAAATTGTTAAATGCCACAAAGAAGAGAATTGCTCCCAGAATCTTGATTAAAGATTCAGCATGATTAAAGTAAAATTAATACCCATTGATTAAGTATGTCAATCATATGGTTTTGTTTTGTGATGCAACAATAATTTAAATTTAATTTTACCCCCTTCCTCATTTTCATTTTCTAAATTTTAGACTGTCTATTTTGTTTAAAAATTTGCACGGTCAATTTTAGTATAAAAGAAAGTCGAAAGTCTGCCAGGAAATAGAAAATCAATTCTCAGTAAATTAAACGCAAGGCCATCTTTAGCAATCGTATATGTAGCAAATATACTATATGTAGCAAGTAGTACCGACTGAAAGTCTGTTAGCTTTCTAATACCAACTGTTGTTATCTGGAAACCAATTAATGTTCTTTATCATCGATTTTTTAAATACTGAAATTGATTTATGTTTCTATTAATAAGATCTTGATATTTCCAGCTTGAAATTAATATTAGAATTTTAAAAAATAGCATTTATCTGTAACTTCTTAAGTAGCACATTGTCATGAAGGTTATCAGTGACTTTTCCCATAAATAATAATTTTCAGTAATTTTAGTAGAAGATCAATTATAATAATCTTCTATATAATTGCTACCACACTATAATTTTAAACAATAAATTGAATATATAAACTAAAAAAACAGCATTAGCCTACTTTTCAAGCTTCAAACGAAATTTCCAAGATTTCAAACGAACTTTTTCACCAAGCCAAAAAAGGAAAGAATGCTTTTACAATGCTTAAACCCATCACTACATCTTCCACAAGAACCAATGCGACTTTAACAGAACTACATAAATAAAAGAAAAAACCAAAACTCTAAAATTAATATTACTCGGCAAACTTAAAAATTCCAAAGATCCTCACTCTGGCATTTAACAATCTCATCTAACACATAACATGCGACACGCAAAAACACGTACCGATATAACCTAACTGATCGATTAAAAACAAATTAAAACATCGAATTAAGCAAGAAAAAAAATATAAACAATCATCTGTTCCTGATCATCAGTACTGATTTTCAGTGACAGGACGAACTTCGTTTCCAGACTGTTGGTACCCAGCTGGGTACTGTATCTGACTGGAGTACTGCTGATTGTAACCAGTCGATTGACCCTGATATTGGTCAGCCTGAGTCTGGTACTGCGGTTGGTACTCAGCACTCTGAGGTTGGTACTGAGCTGCTGGTTGATACTGAGCTTGCTGAGGTTGGTACTGAGCCTGCTGAGGTTGGTACTGAGCTTGCTGAGGTTGGTACTGAGCTTGATACTGTGCTTGCTGAGGTTCGTACTGCGCTTGCTGAGCTTCGTACTGAGATTGTTGCGAAGGTTGCGATTGAACAGGTTGAGGCACGTAGGGCTTCTCAGGGCGATAAGTGATTTGGTTAGCTATGATGTTGTACGGAATTTGAGCTTGGTACTTCAGCAGGCTCTGAATTTGGGGTGGAATGTTGGTTGAGTATTGTGGACGAGGCTCTGCTGGAAGCTGTTGGGGTTGTGGTCGTTGCTGGTGTGCTTGTCTTCTTTGTCGGGAATACTCGGGAGCTGGCTCTGAAGGTTGAGCTCGAGTCGAGGCTCGTCCGAAGGATGCTGCTTGCACCACTGGTTCTGTTGGTTGTCGGCTGAGGAGATCCTTGTAATGACTTTCCACTTGCTGCTGTTGCTCCCTTATTGATGGCTCCGGATTGAATCTAAGAATACAAAATTTTAATTATTTTGATTGTACTAGTGGACATTAATTTCTAAATGGTTTAAGCTCCAAGACTTTCAGTTGACTAATTGTTAAATTAGATTAGTCAAGTTTAACCAGCGATTTATATTTTTCTCAAACTTCTAACTTTGCAAATTTTCACATTGCTCAAGGGACTCAAGTTTATAAATTTTCAACGATCTAAATTTTTCTGAAACCCCAAACATTGCAGGTTGTCAAATTAGTCAAGTTTAAAAAATTTTCGTGAAACTCCCAACTTTGCAAATTCCACATTGTTCAAGTGACTTAAATTCATAAATTTCCAGCGATCTAAATTTGTCTGAAACTCGCAACTTCACAAATTATCTAGTTGTCAAATTACTCAAGTATATAAAATTCCCAGCAATCTAAATTTTCCTTCAAATTTCCAAAATTCCAAGATCCCTCAATTCTCAAATCTCCAAAGTACAAAATTTCCCAACTTCCCAAATCCTCAATTCTCAAATCTCCAAAGTACAAAATTTTCCAACTTCCCAAATCCTCAATTCTCAAATCTCCAAAGTACAAAATTTCCCAACTTCCCAAATCCTCAACCCCCACATTCCCAAACTCACAAATCCCACATTTTACTTCTTTAAAAATTTATTAAACCTCAACTACAAATATTTTACCCACAAGAAATAAATAAAAAGAAAGTCCTCAAAATTCATAACAGTTATCAAAATTCAAAATTCATCAAATTTAACATTGCCTTTTGCCTAAAATGCAATTTAAGGGACATCTCACCTAAACTGCTCAGGAATAACATTAATGTAAGGCGTCTGAGCCTGGAATTTTAAGATCTGCTCGAGCGATGGAGGCAAGTTTGTTGAATATCTGTACTGAGGTTCAGGAGGCGGTTGCGAAAGTCTGCGGCTTTGTTGCGGCACACCTTCCGGTCTGTGCTCTGGCGCTTGCCTTCTGTGTCTGGGTGGACCACGTGGTTTCCCGCGGTAAGATGGACGCCGTGGTTCTGGAGCTTCCTGTTCCTGGCGTTGGTATTGAACCGGTTGATTACCTTGAGTTTCTCCCTGTGCTGTCACTAACGCATCGTACCTGTAATATTAAATTATTCATCAAATATTGTTAACTCTAATATGCATTGTTTTTTTCTAATATCAAAAATAAAGATAGCATAAGCTTAACCCTTTATACTATATTTGTGAATATACCCACCAAAAAGTTATGGTTGATTAAATCTTAGTAATTGAATTTTATTTCTGATGAACTAAATGATGCATTGATACCTAAATGATATCTTGATATTTAGTTGTCAAAATTAATTTTGAACAGCCAAGTGTTTTACCATATTTGTGATGAACTAAATGATGCCTTGCTACCTAGATGGTACCTTGATATTTAGTTATCAAAATTAATTTTGAACAGCCAAGTGTTTTACCATATTTGTGGTGAACTAAATGATGCCTTACTACCTAAATGGTACCTTGATATTTAGTTATCAAAATTAATTTTGAGCAGCCAAGTGTTTTACCATATTTGTGGTGAACTAAATGATGTCTTAATACCTAAATGGTACCTTGATATTTAGTTATCAAAATTAATTTTGAACAGCCAACTGTTTTACCATATTTGTGATGAACTGAATGGTACCTTCATACCAAAATAGTACCTTGACATTTAGTTATAAAAATTAATTTTGAACAGCCAAGTGTTTTACCATTAATCTGAACTTTTACCACTGATATAATAATTTGAAGTAGTTGATCATTAATCTTAATCAACTAAATAATAATTTTAACTAGTTCATTACTAATCCCAAGTTAACTATTAATTCTAGCAAGTTTAATTTTACCATCTTTTTTTAATTTTATCACCCACTAAAATCTTGAGCAGCAAATTCAGCTTCTGTCTAATGACTATCAGTAGAAAAAAGAAAATTGAATTGCACCTAAACGGTTCAGGAATGATGTTCACATATGGAAGTTGGGTCTGGAACTCCAGTAGTTGTTTAATGTACTGCGGTGCGCTATCCAAACTTTTCGATGGTAGCTGAGCTGGTTCAGGCTGCGGTAGAGCTTGCGGTTGTGGTTGCCGTTGTGGATGAGGTCGTTGTCGCTGTCTAACTGGAATCGTTGCCTCCGAATATTGCTGTTGTGGCCCTGGCAATGATTGACGATCGTACGATCTCCAGCTCACCCTTGATCCTTTCGACAGTAAAATTTCAAGTTTACTTTTAATCGACAGTTCAAACTGTCTGGAACGTTGGAATGACGAAATTGCAGCATAAACTGGTTCTTAAGTTTAGAAACACGGAACCGGCTTGCGTTCGAACGGAAAGTGTGGACAGTTCTAGTTTGAACTAAATATACGAATTATTCGGACTTAAAATTTTTAGTAATACGAAACGTAAAATAGATAATGAATACTGTTAAATATAATGCGGAAAGTATGTGACTTGATTTCAGATAACTGGATCGACAAGTTTGATTATGCGATTTAATGGTCTGATATGATATAATATCGTATGCTAATGTACAATTGGTTCAATGCTATGCAAATTGCATTTCAAACTTCGGGAACTTTCTCGAGGTTTACCTTTGACATTATAAAAACTTAGTGCACTTTGATCTTAAGTTGGAAGCAAACATTATTGGTTTTGACTATATTGTATAGTTTGATCCAAAGTAAAATTGTCTTGAATGTATCATTAATTGGACATTGAAAATTTTTTATGTATAACATTATTTGCTTTTCAAATGATGTATCACGTGTATGACATATGTATCACATATGCTACATGTATCACATTGTATACCACATGTAACACAAATATTACATATACCACGTGTATAACATATACCACATATACTAGGTATATCACATGTGTCACATATGCCACATGTATTGCATGTATCACATATACCACATATATCACATATGTCACATATGTCACATATGCCACATGTATTACATGTATTACATATACTACATTTATCACATGTATTACATATACAACATTTATCACATATATCACATATATTGCATGTATAACATATACTACATTTATTACATGTATTACATATGCAACATATATCACATATATCACATGTATTGTATGTATCATATATACTACATATACCACATGTATCACATATGTCACATATGCCACATGTATTACCTGTATCACATATACTACATTCATCACATGTATTACATATGTAACATATACCACATATACCACATGTACTACATGCATCATATGTACCACATATATCACATATATCACATATACCACATATGTACACCACATGTATCAATTTTATTGTTAAATTTTAATGAGACCAATTAACTTTCTGAACTAATTTAAATTCTATTATTCAAGTTCTCCATTTAATTAAAATTACATATGTTATATTTAATGTTAAATTGATATTTACCGCTGGGATCATTGTATTGAAGAGATTTAGCAGAAGAGCTAGGATCATATGAACTTCGAATGATCGACTGTGGCTGACTGTGTCCATCCGATGCTCCCTGAATATTATATTGTCCAGTAGTAGCTCCCTGGAAATTGTACCTTTCTGCTCCACCATCAGTGGAACCCCGAATATTGAAATTTGTATGGCCATCATTGCCACTTTGAACGTTCGAGTGACCATCTGAGGCGCCTTGAATTGTGAAACCACCGTTCACTGGTTCTACAGAACAAAAATTTAAAAAAGCTTGTAATAAAAATTGATTAACTGATAATTTAAAATTGTACTTCGAGTTTAAATAAATGGTTACTTTGTTGAACATTTCTAAATGTGCCACGGATTTAACAAGTAATTAATAAGCAAAACTTCTAATTAGATGAATAAGGAAATCTAATTATAAGTATGGATTGCAAATATAGAGAGATACATTATACTCGAAGATTTTTCTGGTCGTATCGGTAACACATATCTATCTTTTACCACTTTGTTCTGTGTATTGAACTCCTTTCCCTTCCTGTATTGTTAGACCCTGGGCGACTCGGTTCCCGTCACTAGGTCCTTGTATTGAAAATTGTGCTATGCACATGGGAAGTGCTATTAGCAGTATGACCTGTAAAATACAATCATTTGTACTCAGATAAAATTATTTTCTATTTATGTGTCTGGTTCAATAATTAACGTTATGTATGAAGTTTTCAATTAAAAATAAATGAGATGAAAAATATATGGGTGTTTTTCTGCAGACGACGTGAATTTCTAAAAAATCGAATAATTTACAGAAATTAAAAGTAAGAAATTTAAAATTTATTTTCGTAAGTATAATAGTCAATAGCGTTATTACTAATACTTGATTATTTATTTGTACATAGAGCAATTCATTTAGAATGTTCAATTAGTTTTTATTTTGAATGACTCAATGTCTGCAGCCACTGAATTTTATTAACAACCTAATACAACCTAAGTAATGTAACCTAAGGAATAATTAAAAATAATTAACTTCAATTAAATGAAACTGTGTCATTTCGTAATTATTTGTTTCCAACGTATTGCTTAAGTAACATAATATCTAAAATCCTATTTTTAGTATTAACTAATGTAGAAAACATAAGTGAAAGTTTCTATATAAACAAAAAATATTTTCAATATTTTCTAAGTGGCTCAAGGAACATTCCCTTTAATCTCTCTTGGATTGAATTTCGAGTTCAACCATAAATAAAACAAAGTCAGGATTATTGCATAAGTTCATGGTACTGGACATACCAGTTAGAGTTCAGATTTTTAGAATGAGTTACACGTTCGATTAAAGAGATAGAACTTTCGAGATACTGGTATCAGAGTATTAATAAAATCGTCGTTGTTGAAATTATGAATATTTAGAAATATTTGAAATTAGGAATAATTGCAAGTATTAAAAATTACAAATAATTGCAAATGTTAAAAATTATGCATGATTGCAAATATTAAAAATTAGAAATGATTGCAAATATTAAAAAGTACAAATGATTGCAAATATTAAAAATTACGAATGATTGCAAATGTTAAAAATTATGAATGATTGCAAATATTAAAAACTACAAATGATTGCAAATATTAAAAATTATGGATAATTGCAAATATTAAAAATTACAAATGATTGCAAATGTTAAAAATTACAAATGATTGCAAATATTAAAAATTACAAATAATTGCAAACATTAAAAATTATGAATAATTGCAAATATTAAAAATCACGAATAATTGCAAGTATTAAAAATTCGAATAATCGCAAATATTATTTTAAAATTATGGTCGACGAAATTATAATAAAAAAATGAACATTCCAACCATAATTTTAACTTAATTTTATCGAGTAATAATAAGAAGCACAATTCGAACAACATTGAAAGTGAAATCTCGGAAGATTTAGGTTATGTCGAACTTCGGGGTTAAATTACGTAACGCACTATTTTAGTCTAGAATGGCAGAGCTCGATATAGTGATAGTAACTATTACTCGTGTGTGGTTTATGTGTTTATATGGAATTGTATTTCACGAACAGTGCAATATATCTATGAGGGAAAGTTGCAACTTTGAGGCCATATTCTTAGTAATCACGAACCTAATATATCTCTAGAACAGCGTAAAAATATTTCCAAAAATCGTGTGAATATTTCCAAATTAATATTTTCAATCTATTATACATTTTAACTTCCAACAAATTTTTATAAAATTTCAAGTTTGCTCAGAAAATAATTATAAATCAAGATTTATAGCTATCTATTAGCATTAGCTATCAAAGTTTAAATTACTTCCATGCTAATTAAAATCTTCTAATGAGATGTATTCAAATCTAACACAATTACAGTGGAGAAAGTACAGTTCTGTGAAACTACGAAAGGCAAACTTAATCATTAGGGTTAATTAAATTAATTATACGATCCGAATACTGCTTAATCAGTTCCGTTTTTCAAGCAGTTTGTCGAGGTTTAACTGCATTCTCTACATGGAAGTACATGCACCTTGTACCATCTGATTATGCTAAAGAGGAAATCGTGTAATCTATTCGTTGCGTCATTTTCAACGTACATTCAATTAAATATTTATTGCTAGCAACGTGAATGAAATATTTAACATTTTTGTAACTGTTATTAACATTCTGATATTTCATTTCTAATTTTTTATTTTCTTAGGCAAGATTTCATTTTGTATATCAATTTCTTGGGAATTTAAAATAAGTTTATTGACAAATTTTACAAACTTAAGAAAAATATACTGAAGTATCTAATTTCATATTTTACAGAAAATAATATACTTCAAATAAATATTCTTGTACTAAAAATTCAGATATTTAGGTAAAATTTAGAAAATGTTATTTCTAAAGTTCTGTTTAATTTTCACTTTTTAATTTTAGTTTTTAAAATGCATGGTGAATATGCAAATTCGTAATAAAGTACCAATTATCTCAAAGTCGAATTCCAGACCAACAAAATCGCAGTTGGAGGGAAAGTTACGCGTGTTCGATCAGAAGCCGCAGTTTCCGTAATCGGGAAAGGTGACGTTGGAATCTTTCGTCTAACATTCCAAGTTAGCTGTAAGAAAAAGCAACGAAACGTATCTGGAAACCTGGACTAAGTGTAACGATCAAGCACACCGTTACGGGAATTATACGCTCACCGGTAGAAAGTGAAATATAAATTAGCCAACAAGACACGCCTGACTCGATCTTTCGATCGAAAAAGAAGGAGAATTCGAATTATGGGTTCAACTTGTCCACAAATGTCCTTCTATCAAAATTGAAAGTGATGCAAGGAGTATTCACATTTAATGAAAGTGATGCATAGGAGTTACTCGAAGACACTGCACTGTTCAACTAATGTTTTTCATATATTATATTATATAAAAATATGTTTAACTAATATTAAGAATGATAAACACTGTAAATAGTTCACACTGAGACTACCAGATAGTTAAAATTATTTCGGATGTCACATTTGATGTTAAAAATTTTGTGCCTTTGTAGAAATATTTGTCACATTTTTTGATATGAAGAATGGTTTTATAGGTTATGTGAAGCTTCAGTAATTACTTAAATAACTAAAAAATAAATATGTAATAAATTTTACACTTTATTGTAGACTTTATACCTTTATTGTACTTTATTATATTGTTTTTTCTTATTGTACACTTTATTACCTTTAAGAATGGTTGTATAGGTTATGTGAATCTTCAGTATTTACTTAAATAAGTAGAAAATAAGTATGTAATAAATTTTACACTTTATTTTTAATTTGAAAGTAAGTGTGCATTATTTAGCTACATAAATTATTTTACAAGAAATTTTCTGTTTATTTGTTACAGATGTCTATTAATTTTAGATCAAGTATGTTTCAGGATATTCTGAGGATAACTTGTACTTATAACACACTCTATAAATTTTTAAAAAATTACAAATAATTGTATACAATGAACAAAATTGCGAATACTTGTATAAGATTGCACTCTTGCCTAATACAGATGATTTTATGGTATACTTCACATCGTAACGTGAGAAAGCGTGACATTTTACAGTAGACATATGACGCTCAGTAATCATAAAGAAATAAATTTGCTGTAACGACCTGTCTTATTATCAATGAGATTGTTACAACGTAATAATTGCAGCTTATGAAATTATGTTGCCCATTTGAGTATTTTTTAACTTTACGTCGAGTGAAAAATGTTAACTCGCTTTTGGAAATAAGGAACGTGTCAACTTAATAGCTTAATAGTTTTAAAAAGAAATTTTATGATAAATTTAATCAATCGATTCGAGATTTTCTGAATATTAACTTAGATAAATTACTATTCTATTAATGCAAAATGCACAAACAGGAAGCACGACGTATTCCACAATAAATTAATTTTGAACTCATTTGTCAAATCTACCCCTAAATATTCCTTTCACAAACTTCATATCAATTGTAACACAATATACATAATCTAACATAATATACTATGGTATTCACCGTAGTAAATATTGATTAATACAAATTACCTATAAAGTGAAATAAATTAAAATTCAACAACCCTGCTATGAAACATATAATACTAAAAAATGCAATTCAATTAACCGCCGATAAAAATTAATGACAATAGAAACAATTTATTATTTCTCAAGTAATACATCATTTAATACTGTGTCTAATTACTCTTTTCTTTATTCCAATGATTCCTAACAAGATCACATATCTCATTTATCATTTTCAATTTGCAAGTGATTTCTAAATTACTATCCTTTGTTCAAGTAATGAATATTCTCAGCAAGATCACGCAAGTGATTTATCACTTTCAGCACGTCAAATATTTACAAATTTCCTTCGTTTTATCCTAAACAAAAGCGCATAAGTGTTACTCATTCATAACTTTCAGCACATAAAATATTTATAACATTTCTTTGTTCAAACAAAATCACGTAAGTCTCATTTATCACTTTTAGTATATAAAATATTTGCAACTATTTTCTCTTTGTTCGAGTAATTAATATCCCAAGATAAGTGCTGTCCATTTATCATTTTGAGCGCATAAAATATTTGCAAACTTTTATTTGTATCTTGAATAAGATCGTAAGTGCTTGTCATTTATCACTTTCAAAATATAAAATATTTGTTAAAAATGTTAATGGAATAGTTTTCTTTCCACTGAGCATGTAATAACTATAATTTCGCGAAACACGGAAATGAAAATATTGACTTACCAACAAATTCATGGTGAGAAAGCTAGCTGCTCGATGCGTTCAAGGGTGGAGTGTATCTGAGGCGGTCGCGCGGTCACCGGAATAACTTTATAGGCGGCTACGTAAAAGGTGCCTTTCGACGACGGGGATGTGACTACTCTTACCACCTCTACCACCTCGAACGATTCCCCATCACTGTACCATGGTTTCACTGTCAACGGTGACTGCTCTATGCACACCGATCCCTTCGTGCCCTTTACAGTGATGACTTCCTCAAAACTCCTAGAAACACAACAAAATTTCAGTCGTAACATGAATTTACTCTTAATATCTGGTTCAACTTTGCGAGATACACAACACTCGCTGCTCTTCACCCTTTCGGCCATAATTGCGTCGAACTTTTCCCTTAACTTCGCCCTCACGAATCATCAAGACTGCACAACCAATGGGCTTTTAACGATAAAAAATTCTGTTCAATGTAACGATTTAGCATGAGTGAATCACATCTGGTTGAAGCGACCCTGAATTTAACCCTTCAGCAACTGCAATTTGGGGGAACTAAACTTAAACTCTATACAATATTAATATTTCGTAAAATTACCTAAAAATGGTGTTAAGAGCAAATGTTAAATTTAGGAGAAATCAGGAAAGTTTCGGGTTCGATTGACATATCGTGGTCGAAAACAAATGTTCAATTTTTGTTTCCCGAAACGTTGAAATCTTACAACCCCTAGAAACAAGAGTTTCGAGTTTCGAGGATTCGAAATTTTGCACTTTTATCGTGATTCGAAACTCTCGAAGGGCAGATAAGGAAACGTATGAAATCAACGAACGAAGAATCGCAGTGTGCCTCGAATATTTGATTCGCGTGTCGTATCCCGAATATTCAGTGCTGATGCTTTGCGAATGCTCGGCGATTAGTTTTCGTTTTTGAGGATACAAGCGGATCGACACTCGATCGTGATTGTAGAACTGCAGAGCGATGCGAGCTTAAATTTTGTCGACATCGGTCTCAAAATAAGATATTCAGAAACAAAATCACTTCAAGTTTCGAGAGTTTCGAGTTCCGTGTTTCGAAATTTTGTGAAGCGATTCGAGGTTCGAATTTAAAAATTCGGTTCGGCTTTCTAATAAAATTCTCAATTCCAATATGGCGGTCAAATAATCAATTCTTGTCGAGTTTACGAAAGATTCTCATAGTTGGAGAGAACGAAAAACGAAAGGGAATGTAAAGGAAATAAGTCTTGCAGGCTCTCTCTGTGATGCATTTCAGTTTTTAGCACGCGATTTGTGTGTAATTCAATTCGTTATGAATAAGAAACAATCTTATTAGCATTTAAACATTAATTGAAATATTTATATGTAAACTTAAGAATCTAATAAGTTTCTAATTTCTTTTTAAATAATAGTAGTTAAAGTAACGAGAGTTATCCAAATGAAACATTTCAATTAACAGAAATTATTGAATAATAATTTTCTATATTTAATTCTGAAGTTTAAATACATGATTTAAAAATAGTACAATTCTATTTCATCAAGAAAATTTAACTGTTCATCATTTTGATTGTTATTGAACATAAATTTTTAGATTACACGTTAACTGACGATCATGAAGAAAATAAGTTCGCTCCACTTTAATAGTAAACGGCAAAAAATAAGGCAGTTACTAAGTTTCCTATAATAAATTCACGTGCAAGTTCATTAAACAAGCTTTCTCTTCTCCATTCAGTTAGTAGCATAATCTCAATTTTCCATTAAATTATCCAAATTATTAGGGGTACCGAAAAGTAATCAAAATTTCTTCGATGATTTCAAAGTTTTCCTATGAAAAATCGAAGGACTTTTTTTAAGAAGGAAATAATTGCCTTTACGTTGGCAAAAAGTGTTAGAAAGTGATGGAAATTATTTTGTTGATTTAAGATTTCTTTAATAAATAAATATTTTTCGCCAGCAAACAAAATTTTTATTACTTTTCGGTACTCCTAATATTTTATGTATCTAATTTTTCTTTATCAAAAGAAGGCTACTCCCAAAAGAACAATTGCACTACAAATTTATAAAATTAATGTTGTATTAATTTTTCCAAAATAACAAACTATCCTCGAATTCTTCAAAATTCAATATTCATCTTTCGCTAAAAGAAAATTAATAAGAAAATGTAACTTGTAAAAATTGACTTGCAGTTAGAATAAGAAATTGCATACAGTTACCTGTTTTCAATATATTTCAAGAATTAATGAAAGCAATACTAAGCGTTACTTGATGCGAATCTCTACATTATACGACCTCTCGTTACATGTAAAACAGTACTCGATTGCATCTTTAGTGTATGTTGAAGCCTTCGTCAAGAATGCGATTTAAAGACGCGTTTCCCATGCACAACGCATTCAAAGGTTACAGTGCGATCGTGTGCATCGATTAATGCATTTATGCTAAACTTAGGTAACCATTGCAAAAGAATAGTGGACACACACACATTACAACGCTGTTTTACCTATATGTTATACTATATTCGAGAAGTTTAAAAATTTACATAAACTTACGAAGGAAAGGATTTGATTAATTTCAATAAAAATTTGTATCATCCATTTAATAGTATTTTTGTAGATACACTCTTATATTATTAAGAGAAACAATACTAATAATTGTTAGTTTCTATTATTTACTGCGTTTAATGTGACTATCAATTTTGGTATAATTTATTCATTATATTGTTTGATAATTGCTATTAAAAATTTCTTATTAGTAATTCTTGAAAATTATTTCTACTAAAAATTATTATACAAAAATTGTAATGAAAAGTGTATTCTTATGAACATACATTAATGTTACACTACAGTATTGTATTTGATGTTACTGTATTGGACAGTGTTATTTAACAACAGATATCTTTTGATTTATTTAGTATAATTTATTCGACTCAATTACAAAAATTCAAATTTCTTAAGAAACTTAAATACATCAATTTAATCGACGGTACATTTCATCGAGACCTATTTGGACCTAACCTAAAATCGAAGTATTGGGTTCTAAATTCATAAATTAACATCCACTATTATTCTTTAATTTGGATTTATTAAAACTACCCTCTGATTGTAACAATTTATAAATCTTACAATTCTCAATTTTATTCGAATAAAAAAATCACATATGCATACATCAGAAACGAATGTGTGGAAATCTATACTCATTTCGTAAATAATTCTGTAAATGAGTATAGCACAATAATTACCATCAAAAATAGATTGTAATTTTCAGAAGATCCCTTCATTTCCGCAAATTTTATTTAAAAAATTAGAAAACGAAAAATTGCTTCGCTCCACATCATATCGACATCGAATAAAAATCTACTGCAATCGTTATCGAAAAAATTTACTTCCAAAAATTCATTGCAATAATGTAAAACTTTTGTAAAAAATGTAAAATATATGTAAAAAGATCTGTGATATTTTCTTCGTTAATTAATAAACCGGTAGTCAAAGAATCTCGATTGCCTCATAATCATAAACTGATTCACGATTCCAGTTCCGCAGCAGATATCATCATACAGCAGCAAACAAACGGTTTTACTTTCCGTCTGTCGATGTGTAATCGACATATCGCTTTCCATTATCACCGATCAAACATGCGTCTTTATTAGAAAGGTGGAAACCATCGAACTTTCTACCTTAAGACCAAATAAGAAGATTTATCAGCTGCTACATAGTCGAGCAAATCGCGATCCTCGTGAGAGAATGTTTTTAATAAATTCACCTCGGAAGTGGTGTTCGACAGATCGATAACCATTTCGTAACCGAGAGACTTGTGAGATACTTTTACGCCGGAAGTTCCGCTCACGTTGTTTCCAGTCACTCACCGCCAGGCAAAAAGTTGTGTGTTATGGAAGCAGTGAATGAGGCTCGTGGCGCTGGGGGGGGAAAATAATTTGAATAATTTATTTGTTCACGTGGAAGATCTGATGAAATGGAAAGTACTTTCTTTCACTTTGAATCGCGGGATTTAACTTCGTGGATTAATTACGCTTTTTGCGGGGAAAATGGATCGTAATTATAACAGTTTCTCTTTTTTTTCTTTCTGTACATAACATCGAACTTTTATTGGAAGCATGGTCAATTAGCACGGCTGTGGTAAAATAAGTTGTCGACGATTTGCGAACGCTTATCCCGGAAGGACTTGTAAGTTATTGGACATGTAATGGTTTCCGTACAAAAAATTTATATGTATATTTATTACCTCAACGACTTCACAATTTTTGGTCTGAAAAGTTTTGAGTTTTTACCAAAACTTTTTAGTAAATTCTTGTTCAAATTTTTTACTGAATTTTTGTCAAGAATTTTGATTAAATTTTTGTCAACATATTTTACTAAATTATTGTCAAAATTTTTGACTGAATTACTGTAAAAATTTTTATTAAATTTTTGTCCAAATTTTTTACTGAATTCTTGTCAAGAATTTTAATTAAATTTTTGACTAAATTTTTGTTCAAATTTTTGACTAAATTGTTGTCCAAATTTTTTACTAAAATTTTGTAAAAAATGTTGACTAAATTTCCGTCAAAATTTCTGAGTGAAAACTTCTTACTCAAAATTAAAAATTTCAACTTGAATATATTTCAGAGCTCAATAATTTTAATTGATACAAAATGATTGCCTATTAATTATAATAATGAGCTTCTCATGAAAATATAATTAATAGACATTGTATCAACAGTTACAGATAATTTAATACAATATTTAGTTAAAATACAACAAACCAATAGCGACAAGTTGATCAAAAGGTACGTAACTTCAAAATGAAGTATTTTAATTTGATAGTAATAAATATGCTTTAATAGTAATAATTAAAATATATCATTTTGAACAATTCTATTTTTCAAGTATAAACAATTTAATATACATTTTGATAAACATTATTTTTAAGAAATTTACGTATCGACTTTCTACGAAGACCATTTCGTGTCCAATAACTTAAAAATCTTACTCTAAAAATACAAATATGCTTTACAATAAATGTACAATAACATTTTAATACAGAATGTTAGAAATCTTCGTTGCATTTAACAACATCGAAGTCAGAAGGTAACAGATATTACCCGTTTACAGAAAAGAGTTAAACAGACGATTAAATCTAAAGTGATATTAACACAGAGCAAAGTACTAAATATTTCGTGCGGCTTAACAGTACAAAAATGAGTTTATAACCCAGAAACTTCGCTATCTCGACACCTTGAAGCGAGAAAGGTAATTATTTAATTTTTCTATTTTACAGAGAAAGTTGAGAGTTTGAGGGAAACTGAAGTAGTAAAATTTCGCATTAAATTTCTTCCATGTTTACTGTCAAAGTGCACAGTTTGAGAACCACTGTTTCAACCTAACTTTTTATTTCAATAATTTTTAGAAATTTTAATCGTTTTAGTAATATATAACTTTCAAACTTTAGCTTTAAAAATTTCACTGACAATTTTTAACTTAATTTGAGGTTACTATTATTTGATGAAGTTACTACTATTATTTAATAAATAATGTTTTGTAACATTTAGTAATAAATACGTAGCCTGTCACTGGTCTTTCATTTTACGTAAAACGCATAATTGCAAGGTTTTTACTGCACAATGTCTGCTCACGCGGTAATTGTAATACTTCCAGCTTTATAGGTTATGTTCTCTTATGTAACAGGAAGGCTCTTTGTTAGTTAAGTGTCGTTATTAAAAACGAGACAAATAGCAGTTTTTACTGTGGAGGATTAAGCGAAAGTCAATTCTGTCTTCGACAAAATTTACACACAAGTGTTCTTTTGCTACTCAAACTTAACAATGTTCTAATGCTATGAACGCTCAATTAACCTTATTCAATTCGACATGATTCAATTTATTGCAATTTTTAACATAAATTAACTAATAATTCAACTGGACATAATTCCAACGTCACACATCTATTCTGAACATTCAGTTTAATTTAAAATTCACAAACATTCGTGACACAAAACGAACAAATGTCCTTACTGTTCAATGAAAGAATCAGTGCACTATAGCAAAGAATTTAAGTTCTTAAATTGATTCTGAAGAATTGAGTCTTACAGAAAAAAAGCTTAATCTTAATCTTTCAAATGAAGTTTTAACGCCTTCAACAGACATCTTACAGAGATTGCACAAAATCCTATTAACAAGCAACCTTAAAACAAATTATAACTTCTACGTTTCCCTCAACTTCGATCTTCCTCAAACATTTCCAACCTCGGCAAAGTCCACAACCTCTCAGTCCACCTCTCAATGACCCTGTTCCTCCTGAACAGGCTTAGTATTCTCAAAATCCTGTTCGTACCGATTATTATTCAGATAATAAATCTTGCTGCGATAACTGTACGGTCCTTTGGACTCCGACGGCAGTGGTTTGGGCACGAAAACGGTCTTCGGTTTATTGCTAATCGAATTCGCGATCACGTTATAAGGTAACTCAGCCTGGAACTGCAACAACTGCTGTATCTCCTTAGGCATGTCCTTCTGGAAAACCAGCTTCTGCGGAGGTGGAACAGGAAGGTTCTCTATGGGCACATTCACATGGTCCACCTGCTGTGCATACTGCTGCTGTTGCTGCTCGTATTCGTCTCTGTAGACAATCTTGCCTCGATACCCATTATCCGCGTAATCTCTACGAGACTTTTGTTGCTCTATCTGCTCGTAGGTTTCGTACTGAGGCAGTTCTCCGTTTGCTAATTGTTGAGGGGCTACCACGTTCGACGAGTAGTGAGAGGCAGACTGCTCCGCATAAGGACGCGGCTTGTAATTTTCTAGAATCACTTGCTTCGCGTGTGACGGCACGTTCGAGTACGGTTTATACTGTATCTGATTCTGCTCTGGTTGTTCTTCGGACACTTGATGCTGCGGATACGTGTATTGGGGGTCGGGAGCCTCTGACTGCACTTGCGTTTGGATGTACTGGCTGTACTGCTGCTGGTCGGGTGCTGGGGTCTGAGGCTGCACGTACTTGTACTGCACTTGACCGGGGTCTGGCGTTTGGGGCTGCAAATATCGGTGCACTTGGTCGGACTCGTACTGTACCAACTGAGACTGTTGAGGCTGTGTCTGCTGTTGCTGTTGCTGTTGCTGGTGCAAGTACTGTTGCTGTTGCTGTTGCTGTTGCTGGACAGCGCGCTGACTTTGGGGATGTGATCCGCTGAGTTGAGAACGCAACTGCGTTTGTGGAGAGAACAGCTTCCAGTCCACCTTTAGACCTGTAAGATGTATCAAGCTTCAGTTGTATAATAAAAGAAATCGAGGAAATGAAAAATTATGAAAGTGGTTCAAAATGTGCAAATTTAATTTCTGACAGTAATCTTGAATGTTTGCAATCATATAAAAATTTGATTTACATTTTAATATTTATTAAGAAAAATTTTAAAGCTCCTGAAAAATTAGTTTCTTCATTATCGCACTCTTCGATTGCACTCTTAAATGTAAAGTTTGTTGAAGAGTAATCTTTAAAGAGACAATAATGATTGGATTGAGTAATTTCAATAATTCTGGAGTGGTTGGTTTTCTGAATAATTTCAGTGATCCTCGAATAATTATTTACTCACCATTGGGATCTTGATACCTGATTTGAGCCTGAGGCGTTCGAGCAGCGCGCTGCGCATTGAGTTGCGCCACCATGGAAACGATCAGCAAAATCTGTAAACAGATCAGGCGAATTGTAAATGAATTACCATGAGAACCCTGAATGGACAACGATGTAATAGAATCCGTTAGAAAGTGAAGTCTGCAGCTGCGAAGAAACAGAGATCGAAGACACGCGGAAGAGAATTCGTACAAACGTTTTGCTAAAACATTTGACTACGTTTCCGCTTTTATCCCGTTACTTCGCCGACCGTGTTACAAAGCTAACCATCAATCGGACTTTATAATGCACCGTAACGTTTCACTTCCTTCCATGGTACTGGAATTATCATAACATTAAGACCATACTTGAACCGTATGGAGTTATTTCTTAACAACTGTGGGAATTGCAGGGTAATTTCAGTGAATGAATTAGAAGAATTTCCGTTTCGTAACTGGGGTGCATTGTTGGAAACTGTTGGAACGAATCAACACGTGTAGTTGATTAATTGCTGGCTCGGCAGGGGGTTCCATTAGTTTTCAACTATGTAGAACTTGATCTTGTAATCTTGATCTTGCATTGGTTGCTGGGTAAAATTTGATGCAATCTTTCTTGTTTGAACAGCGCGCTGACTTTGGGGATGTGATCCGCTGAGTTGAGAACGCAACTGCGTTTGTGGAGAGAACAGCTTCCAGTCCACCTTTAGACCTGTAAGATGTATCAAGCTTCAGTTGTATAATAAAAGAAATCGAGGAAATGAAAAATTATGAAAGTGGTTCAAAATGTGCAAATTTAATTTCTGACAGTAATCTTGAATGTTTGCAATCATATAAAAATTTGATTTACATTTTAATATTTATTAAGAAAAATTTTAAAGCTCCTGAAAAATTAGTTTCTTCATTATCGCACTCTTCGATTGCACTCTTAAATGTAAAGTTTGTTGAAGAGTAATCTTTAAAGAGACAATAATGATTGGATTGAGTAATTTCAATAATTCTGGAGTGGTTGGTTTTCTGAATAATTTCAGTGATCCTCGAATAATTATTTACTCACCATTGGGATCTTGATACCTGATTTGAGCCTGAGGCGTTCGAGCAGCGCGCTGCGCATTGAGTTGCGCCACCATGGAAACGATCAGCAAAATCTGTAAACAGATCAGGCGAATTGTAAATGAATTACCATGAGAACCCTGAATGGACAACGATGTAATAGAATCCGTTAGAAAGTGAAGTCTGCAGCTGCGAAGAAACAGAGATCGAAGACACGCGGAAGAGAATTCGTACAAACGTTTTGCTAAAACATTTGACTACGTTTCCGCTTTTATCCCGTTACTTCGCCGACCGTGTTACAAAGCTAACCATCAATCGGACTTTATAATGCACCGTAACGTTTCACTTCCTTCCATGGTACTGGAATTATCATAACATTAAGACCATACTTGAACCGTATGGAGTTATTTCTTAACAACTGTGGGAATTGCAGGGTAATTTCAGTGAATGAATTAGAAGAATTTCCGTTTCGTAACTGGGGTGCATTGTTGGAAACTGTTGGAACGAATCAACACGTGTAGTTGATTAATTGCTGGCTCGGCAGGGGGTTCCATTAGTTTTCAACTATGTAGAACTTGATCTTGTAATCTTGATCTTGCATTGGTTGCTGGGTAAAATTTGATGCAATCTTTCTTGTTTGAGAGTAGAGGGATTGAAAGTGATAGCTTTGTTCTAAATAGTATAATTTTGATATTGATAAAATATTTTGATTAATGCTGGTTTTAATGCTAATAGAATGACATCCATTTTGTAAAATGACTACATTTTGATATTGATATAAGGACATCCATTTTGTAACATGACTACATTTTGATATTAACAAAGGGACATCCATTTTAATAAAAGAACAAACATTTTAATAAAATGATATCCATTTTGTAAAATAACTCCATTTTGATATTAATAAAAATACATCCATTTTACTAAAAGAGCATCCATTTTGTAAAATGACTCCATTTTGATATGAATAAAAGGACACCCCTTTCAATAAAATGACTCCATTTTGGTACCAAAAGAATGACACCAATTTCAATCAAATGGAACCCATTTTACTAAAGTTACTTCATTTTGAAGCAAATCAAATAATCCCATTTTTAAATTCACAAAATTTTAGTTTCAATTTGTGTAGAAACTATTTTAATTCCACACTTCTATTTATAGTTTCTAATGACTGAAATTTTATGCAAAGGTAGTTTCATTTACGTATCGTTAAAAGCATGAAAAGGCGTATGCCAGTATTGCCAAGTACAAGCATGCATGAGTGAATCAAACCTTGAACTGTTAAATAATCAATGTATTACTAGTGGATGAAGAATTTAGAGTTGAATGTTCAGTAAACATTTTCATAATATAATATTGTAAATTTTAATACAAATTATATTTTGGTGAAAAGAATTTTGTGCAGAATTCAAAATTAAAATTTCAAAATTAAATGTTTTTGTGTAATTTATATTTGAACTTAATATAATTATTATGAACTTAATTTTAGTTTGTACGTAGTCTCTAAATAATAATAAAATACATGTAGTAATAAATATAGTAATACATACATATAATAATAATTATTATATATACGTATAATAATAAATATAATAAGATATACATATAGTAATAAATACTTATATGTATAAACTAAAATTTTGTTTATTATATACAAACTGTAATTTACTTTTGTTATATTTGTAACGAAATAAAAATTACTAAACAATTATTAATAAAAATTTTCCCTAAAATGAAATTAGTTAATTTTGTAACAATTTAAAGACACTTAAAAATAGAGTACATGAAGGAAATAATAGACTGACATTAAATAATAAGTGATCAAATATATGCAACGCACAAACAATTGCTGCGTTGAAAGTAACATAACTGTGCTAAGAAAGCGTTAAAAAATACACTTCTCAGTAACGAAGCTAACACTCTTATCATCATGCAAGCTGTCTAAAGTTAAATAATCAAGCCTTGTTGTTATGTTCTACTAGGAAATATAACAAAAGAATGTTATATAAACGTAGATATGAAACTCTTATTAAAAACCTATTAAAATATTTGAGACTCTCTATTAAAAATTTGTCCATAACATCTACTTTCTTTTTACATTATTTACCTTCTAATTCTCCCTGCATTCTTTAATTTTTTTTTTAATATTATATTAAATAACGAAACATTTTTAAGGAGACAGGTAAATTAATGTCAATTTTTTAAGGGTTGTATAAGGTTTAATTTTTGTAGAGATTAATTGAGATCAATTTTTGGACAAGTTAAGTAGGATCAATTTTTGAATAGGTTAATTGAGGTCAATTTTTAAAACAAAAAAGAGATCAATTTTTGAAGAAATATATCAAGATCAATTTTTTAAGAGATATATTAAGATGAATTTTTGAAGAGATTAATTGAGATCAATTTTTAAACAGATGTATTAAGATCAATTTTTAAATAAATATCTTAAGATCAATTTTTAAATAAATATATTGAGATCAATTTTTGAACAGATTAACTAGGATCAACTTTCGAATAGATCAATTAAGATCAATTTTGAAACTAATTAATTAGCATCACCTTTACTACAGATTAATTAGGATCAACTTTCAAACAGATTAATTAAGACCAACTTTTGCACAGATAAATTAAGATCAATTTCTAAACATCTAGAAATGTAAAAATAAATTAACTTTTTCTTCTCTAATATAAATTTCGAATAACAATCCTTTCATAACTTTCCCTTCTTAACTTTTTCTTACAATACAAAGTCTCATCCCATAAAAGTCCTCTTTTATGAGTCCCATTAAACTTTCAATGTGCTATGAAATAGTACGTGTTGTAAGTTCAACAGTTACTTCAAGCAATCACATAATACCTGATCAAGACAAAAACAAATAAAAGTAAACGCAAAAATTTCCTTCGTACAATTATTATTTGACAAAAACATATATTACTTTAAACAATGAAGGATCAAGAATTACATCCAAGTAAATGCATAATCCATGTACTTTGAGTGTTAAAAAATTTCAAACAGAGCCATTCAGCACTCGTCAACAAGGCGATTGATCACTGACACCCCTCACAGCACTAATCACTCACTAAAGCAAGGAAAAATCAGCACTAAAATTCAACCCCTAATAAAGCGACAGGTCCATATCGTTCGAATAAGTTTGAAGGGGAGTTCACACTCACTAGAAATCTCATGGTTGGCAGAGTGAAGACGACGATGGTGGATGTTCGATTCACGGGTGTACGAGCGGAAATCAGCCAACAGGGCCTCGGTTGCTCTTCTATATACTCGTAGTCGCCCCGGTGTAATTGGTCGGCCAAGCAGACGGACGGTGGCTACCTACTTTTAAAGTAATTCTGCCTCTGGGTAACGAGCGAACCGACGAGGCCCTCGGGATATTATCGTGGTCGATTGCAAGAATGCGTTGCTGGCGCAACCCGCTTACAAAGCCGATCTAGGAAGCTGCCGAGGTGTTCGAGATTGCCTCGCAGAACCAAAGAGTTTCTTAACGCATTATTGATCGGCGCGGGATTCGTTGATTATTTTGCGATGCATGTTGTCAGTGTAGTCTTAAATAGGTGCAAAAAGTCGAGGTGAGTATCGTTCGGTGAAAAATTACATGGATGAATCAGTCGGGTACATTAGTCTTCTTTGAATAGGGAGGAAAGTTGAAAGGTTGTTAGAAAATTATTGTTTTATAAAATAGAAGAAATTTGGAAATGCAGAGATTTTGAAAATTTGAGAATTGAACAAATGAACAAATGAAGAGTTGAAGAGTTGAAGAGTTGAAGAGTTGAAGAGTTGAAGAGTTGAAGAGTTGAAAAGTTGAAAAGTTGAAAAGTTGAAAAGTTGAAAAGTTGAAAAGTTGAAAAGTTGAAAGGTTGAAAGGTTGAAAGGTTGAAAAGTTGAAAAGTTGAAAAGTTGAAAAGTTGAAAAGTTGAAAAGTTGAAAAGTTGAAAAGTTGAAAAGTTGAAAAGTTGAAAAGTTGAAAAGTTGAAAAGTTGAAAAGTTGAAAAGTTGAAAAGTTGAAAAGTTGAAAAGTTGAAAAGTTGAAAAGTTGAAAAGTTGAAAAGTTGAAAAATTGAAGAATTGAAAATCTGCAAATTTAACCATCCAAAAATCTGAAAATTTGAAAATCCCAAAATCTTAAAATTTGAAAAATAAAAAGTTCCAACAAATAATTTAGAAAATTAGCAAACATGAAAGTTAGTGAATTCCAAAACTTTCAAGTTACAGTACTAAGCCTATACAGATTTTGCAAAAGTCCTACTATACTTTGAAAAATATGATCAGTACATTGACACGCCGGAGGTAATGGCGTCGATTAGTATTTTTTCTTAACGCTTGATTTACGATATACGGCAGATTTCTTCTAATTTACTTCAGCACACACGTGTATCTTTACTGGATACTTTCTCTGTCTCAAGGAACTTACTTCATTTTCAGCCTTTCGAAAAAACAACCAATAATTTTCATATATGAACAGTTGACGTTGATGATCGTAGTTTGATGCTTCATCTGTACATTTTATTTGCAATATGAAACAGATTTCTTTTTATTTGTTTTAATATATGTCTATCTTTGCTATGCTACTTTTCATGTCTCGAATGTCTTAATTTACAGATAGTTTTGATGAAAAAAGACTGATGTTTGTTATCTCAAAAATTAATTTATTAGTGATTGTCATATTCATTGTAGTATGCAGTAGAATTCTTTTAATTTACTCCTTCAATTTATTTTACTTAATCATGTTCGCGTATCAAATTATTATCGATAAAATTTTTGTGAAATTACAAGTCACTTAACCATCTGACATTTTCATATTTCACTGAGAACAAAATGGTGTCCTAAATATGGCGGTGCTGATGAGTGAACATTTTGATAAATCATTTTACAACTTTCGAAACTGTGACGAGGTTGAAAGGTTCTTTTGTTTCGAGAGGCAAAGAAATATAACAGAAAATTTATTGAACAGAAGACATTACACAAGTGACATTTACAATGTTTTCTAGTAATTAACTTCCTTGAATTTTGTACAGATTGTGTGCAATAATTACGTCTAGCTTACT